CAGCAGCAGCAGCAGCAGCAGCAGTAGGAGTACCAGCAAGCATGGTGCAGAGGCGAAAAACCCGCAGGAGAGAAGCGAACTAAAGNGCAGCAGCAGCAGCAGCAGCAGCAGTAGGAGTACCAGCAAGCATGGTGCAGAGGCGAAAAACCCGCAGGAGAAAAGCGAACTAAAAAAGGTTCATCCCACACCTGCTGGCTGAGGTCTGCTGGAGCTGGTCTGCTGCTACAGCAGCTGAAAGAGGTAGTCTGCGAGAGTGGAACTCCCTCCCCGTGTTTTTTCTGCGGAGGGATTCAGCTCTCTGGTGTCCCCGGCTCGCGGGCGGCCACCGTTTCGCGCGAGCTATTCGCCCTTTCGAGCCCTCATTTTCAGTGCAGATTTCAAAAAAAATTGTGCGACAGGAAGAGGAGCAGCACTCTGACACTCAGGAGGCTTGTAGTCCCAAAAGGGTTAAGGGAGGGGCTGCGTGTTGCGCCGACAAGTTTGAAGCCTACTGCTGTGGACGGAATTTGGCAAATCTTGGTTCCCTAGATAGCTACTGGAATAGTCTACTGCTGTAAATCTTTTGCCTTGGGTGGATTGTTTGGGGTACTTGGATACAAGATTCGATCTGCAGAGAACATATTTGCGGGGGGTATACTGTTGGGGGTCCAAGTGCGGGCCCCCTCGTGAGAGCCCGCGGGCGCCCGGGAATCTGCCCTCGAGGGCAGATGAGAATCCTCCTGCCCTCACGAACGCCTCCCGAACCAGCCCTTACAGAACCATATATTTTAAATCAGAACCACATTTTCAATCACAACAGCAGCGAAGGGCGCAGACACACAAACCGGACCACCGCACCATGCGCCGTATCACAGAGCACACAGCAAACCAAACAGCAGACATCCTCCTCGTGGATCTTCCCGAGAGTAATGGTAGTGACGACAGCAGTGCAGAGAGCGGCAGTATAGCGGTGTCCGCTGATGGACTAGTCTTCTCTAGACTAGTCTAGACTATATGTAGGAGTAATTTACTTCGTGTAGACTACATATATCTTGATCTTGAATCTGCCGCACTGCTGTGATATCTGCGGGCATGTGGCGGGCGGGTGGAAGGTTGCCGTATTTGAGTGGTATGAATGTTATTAAAACCAGATTACCTGCGTTGTGGTCCGTTGAGGATTGAACTGATGGGTGTAAGCTACATAGAGCATACGGGAGGTTGAAGGGAGCGCTCACATGTTGCATAGTTGGAGGTTGTGGCCACTTGATATAATAAAGGCAATTGGTGGACGTATCCGTTTATTTCGACGAGATGACTTCCGCTGTGCTTCGGGCTTCGCACAGTGGTCCTCTCCATATTCGCTCGGGGTGTGCGATCGACGTGAGCAAAAACTCTGCCACAAATGTTGTTGCTTCATGACACCGTACTCCGTGAAGAAACAACACGCAACACCGCCGATCAGCCACCACTACCAACCTGCAGAAAGAATGGACAACCCCAAAAATTCGTTGAGCCAACCAACACATTGGGGTTACAGCGGGGGACCACAAACCACAAAGTTTCCCCACTTTCAACTCCATTAAATTCCGCTCGTTGCCCTCCACGACCACGCCTGAACACAACCATGGTACGCTCACCAAGTCTCAAGCAAGTGCGGTTTGTGTGCGCGCGTCTTGTACGCCTTGCCCCGCCATATCCACGCTAGCTCTCTCTCTAGATCCTTGGCTTCTAAACAGCTGGTTGGCGCACAGGTTGTGGGTTGCCAAGAAAAGCCCCTCCGCCCCGAGAAATCATAGCCGTGGACCCCAAGCAAGTCAAAAATGCCGAACGAAAACACTTCCGGGACATGCATCATCCCTTCCTACGCCATGACAAAAAGCACATTCAACGCAGGCGAAAAGACAAAAGTCGACGCTACTCCTAAATCCCCCAAGCCGCTTCGGCACCGCCCTGAATGACGTGCTGTCCTCCATAACGATTATTTCTCTGGGCCGTCGACTTGCGCCTTTTTGTCGGTCCTGTTTGCTTCCTTTTCGGGGGAGAGCGCACCTCGTCCAAGAAAGCAACGTTTTGGGGCGTCGAAGGCAGAGGCCGCCCGTGGTTGTCGCGGGCACGAAGTCTTTCTCCGTTTAGTCTTGATTGCTGGAAACCCTCCGGCGCGCAGGAATTTGTCGCGTCGAAAGCCAACGACGCCGAGTACGTGACACCGGGCGAAGTCTGCCCCACCCCGTCATGAAGCAAGTCGCTCAAGGCCCGAAGCGGTGCGCCCGAGCCCCCGACCGGGCGTGTCGCGTTCCTGGGTGTAGGGAAAAAATCCATTGCGGCGCCGGCGACACCAGCCCTGTGAGACGGAAGATTCTCGGCAAGGCTCGGCGTGCCGGCCGTGGAAACACCAAGACCCGACCCTGCCCCCTCCCCGCCCCCGCCCGTGCTGCCGGGGCCGTCCGCCTGTGGCAACGCCGGGCCACGTACGGCAAGGCTCGGCGTGCTCGCCGCGGAAACACCAAGACCCCCCCCCCCC